GTACGCCAGTGTGTGTCTTTGTGTCGCACTGATCTATCACTCAGACTATGTACGTACGTATATAGTGATGGTGTCACTGATGTAGTGTGTATGCGTGTGCGACGACCGCTGTCCTGCTGTCTGACCCACGCTTCCGTGAGCCTGCGTGTTTGAGCGTTAATGCTTGACTTACCATGGTTCTATCTACGCGTCAACAGGTTAAACGCGTGACGTCAGCGCGGCCGTGCACAACGCGAGCGGTTCCTCCCGCTGCCCATAGACTTCGCTGCCGTAGTATCTGCGACAGAGCCGTAATATAAGATATCATATACGGCTCTGCTCTGCGGGTACATCGATTTCTGGGCCATGTTCTTACCGGTATGGTGTAACACGTTGTACCTTTGAACGACGATCTTCGGTAACGATAAATGGGACGCGGTGTCCTGTGCGTGCTGCGCCCTTACGTTCGCTGCATCGCTGTTTGTGTGTCTGTCTTTTGGTTGTGTTGAGGGCTGGTTTTTTTTCTGGCCTGTGTGTGGTGTGTGTGTGTGTTGATGTTGTTGTGTGTGTGTGTGTGTGTGCATCCTGTGATGCTGTGTGTGTCGCGACGTGGCGTAGCATGTATATGTGTGTTTTACTATTATTATTATGGCCCACCCGACCGTTAATTAGAGAGAGAGAGAGAGAGCAATCGATAGAAAGAGAGAGAGAGAGCAATCGATAGAAAGAGAGGCTTGGATGGAGAGCCAGAGCGAGAGAGAAAGAGAGAAAGAGAGAAGGGGGGAGAGATTCAGTTAGCAACACTTGGATTAAGATAGCGCTATATTGTAATATACTCCAGGGTCTCATTATAACGGGTGCATTTCAAATCAAATCTCGTCCAACAATATTGCGCAATAATCTGGTTTATGTACTTCCGGCAATTAACTAACTGTAAATTGGCATCATCACGATGTCAAGAAAACTTGAATAGAATAGGTAATGAGCGGGGGGAGCGTCATTACGACTAAAACGTATTATACAGCTTTGCGTAAGTTCCAGGTCCTAACGACCAACTACCAGAGCAGCTACCGGTTTCACCTCTGAGTGGATTTCTCGTCATCATGAGATGAAAACAAGAGAAGAAAAAATAACTCTCGTCGTAATTTGAAATGGCAACGCGTCAAAGCTGTAATGAGTGTAACTATCATGTGTACTTATGTTACATCAACATTAGGCGGTTTATTAAGTTGTTGTAGTTGTTGTCCTTTCAGGTTAGACTACCATATCACATCTAAACCTATGTTATACCTGCCCATATAGGCTAAGTTAGCCGTTTCTGTTGAGTGGCAGTTATAATAATTATAGAGGGTTGATCGTATATCGCATTTATACGGAACGTATTTGAGTGAGATGAATTCAAACCGCCGCGAAATTCGTAGCGAATTGTTGTGAACAAGATGCGCTTTCACGTGTTCAAGTGTTTGTTTTGTTTTTGTTTTGCGTTTTGACGAGACGTTTCTGCCTGTTTCGTTATCGTATAGGTAGGTATCAACGGATTGTTTACGTATCTCCAGTCAGATAACAGGTTTGTCTAGCAATGACTCTATTCCACGTAGAGCGAGTGTTCTACGGTTCGGAGAGTTTGCAGGTGTTTACCGGATTATTATCTTTATATTGCCATTACTATATTATCTATTATATTATTCTATATATTTTATTATTTTATTTTATACTATTTTGTGTGTGTTCACGTGATTTGTTTCAATAGCGATGCCATATTAGGGCCGTAGCATCCAGCAGAAGGTATGCAGCTGGAATAAAACTATATTCATGAAATTATTTAACTTATAATTAACTATAATTAGTTAATAATATTATAGCGCTTTTAACTTTAGATAAAGATTATATATTAACGATGTCTTTATTTCTAGTCGTTCGTGCAATGCGTATAAAGAGACGTAGCCCACATGCAGTCATAATACAAACTTTTAGTACATAACTGGTATGCTATATATTTGCAATGCAAAATAAAACACGACAACGAGGACAACACTATAAATCATTTCCATCAATACTTACATCAATACACAATAACACAGATAGACGTTATATTATATTGCGTTATATTATATACATAATAAATATTCAGCTGTGTAGGAGATCTATTTTAATGAAAATAAATAAGTCTAAATAGCAAACACACCTTCTATACAAAAGAGAATAGGTTATATAAGACTGCATTTGGAATGAAACAAATGGCTAGTCGATTAAAAGATTTCCGGAATTAAAATCATTTGGACATTGTATATATGACTACGCACTTTATTATTATTAGAATGAGTTTCTTTCGTTTTTAAATAGTTTTAAGTGCCAATCCTACAGCATCAAGGCACTGGCAAAGTTCTTCAACAAAACACGTAGTATTTAGTCACATAAATCTGACTTTATACATGCGGGCCGGCCGTTCCGCGTACGAGTGACAACGATGACGTTAACAAGAAACGTGGCTATTTACATATAAGAGCAGATAACTACACGATGATTTCACGTACAGCACCATGACTTGATTGACGACTGCAAGAAGATAAGCTACAGAAGTAGTGTCTATAGTTGTTGTAGATTAAGGGTCTAGGCGTAAGAAGAGCTCATTCTTTGATGAAAATGTGACGCTTTATGTGGCGTCGTGTTTACTTTATCAAATAGTCGTAACGGGAAGCCACCATTGCTAATCCTAATTATATACGTGTGTATTATCTGTACGACTTGTAAATGCATTAGTTCTGCTTCAATAAAATGCTCGGTATTGTGCGTTGGTGACGTAGATATAATAATATTTCGATGATTGAACACATAAATAGTGTTATAAGCCTGCGTTATGAGTTTAACGTGATAATGCGGGGTCACATTATGATAATCAATCACATCACAACTAAGTATGTTCCTCGAAGGTAAAAAGAATCATAATACATTTTAAGTTGTACCTACTATCGTTGTAATGCGGTTAAGCTATGCCTTGCTACACCGAGAGTTTTTAAGTCAGCAACGGAACTTGAGGCTCTTCATATTTGTTACAGACAGCTTTAAACAGCACTGGGCCAGTGCGCCACCTAGTGGCTGAATATATACGCGCGCGTCTCTTTAGCGAGTCATAGAAGCTGCCTGGTTATATTTTAATCCTGTTGTAAATTACAGTTCACATATACAGGAGACGTGGTGGATGTAAAGTGCATACGAGCCTGTCTATGCATTAACGCGAATGCGATTGAATGAGACTGAGAGCAACTGTGCCATTGGCAGCAGTTATTTAAGAATTGAGAGTAACATTGTATTCTCTTATTTGTTTGCTATGGAAAGCCCTGTGTTAACTACCGCTGGGACAATCATTCGGCCTTATACACCGTCCATTGTGCAATACTTTTCTTGTTATGCAGCGGCAGCCAGCAATGCAATGTCTCTCGCCTTTACAGGCTGGCATAATAGAGTTGTGATTGATCGTGTCACATGTTTGCTGGCATCGCGGCCCGCAGTGATCGTATATTTCTCCTTCTTGACACTGCCGTTCTGAAACATTATTGAAAGAAAAAGCATCACATGCAGGCTGTTTGTTTATCAAACGTATATTTGCAACTTTCTACACGGTATATTGGAACCACTTTGCATCGTTGATGTACAAACACAGTAACACGACACTCTTTTATACGAATTAACAGAGAAAATATAAGTAGAAATATATAATGTAATATAATATCGAGGTAAGAATAATACAATTATTAGGCATGGTTTAACACTAAAATCTACACTCGAGAGATTTTAAACGGCTAATACTTTTAAACATAACAATAATACAATAACAATAACATAATTCAATAGTTTTTGTTAACTGGGAAAGAAAGATTCAGAATTTTATCTCATTAAATCGCCGCTATCAAATATAAAGTCGGTTCACAAGTTCGGTATACGCGGACAATTTACGTATTGCAGGGCCTACACATGTTGCTCGCTTACCTCCACATGTTGTGTATTCCTGCCACGCTACATCTATCCCATTTCGACTGCAGGCCATCGCATAAGCAATCACAGTTTCACACGCGCAGCTTCTGTGCCGCGGGCAGTCACACATGTCCTGTATGCACGACCTACACGCCCAGTAAACAGTCCAAATTAATAATGTACTCATATAGAGAGAGAAACAGGACGACAGACAGACATGCAGTCCAATTGACTAATAAATAAATCGCTGGACGGACCGACAGATGAAAACAAGGACAGACGGACGGACAGACGGACGGACGGATGGACGGACGGACAGACGGACAAACGCTCGGACGGACGGACGGACGAACGGACGGACAGACGGGCGCACGGAGTTGCAGATGAAATGAATAATGGTTGGATAGATAGATGAATGCATGGATGGATGGACCAGTTTCGATCTGTGTTGCTGTGTGCGCTGCCTGCTTACTTGTAGTACTCTCGAGGATCGACTACGTTAAAACAGGGCGAGAAAACTCTCCGTTTCAGTACGTTGCATTCCCTCATCGCCCGCACTCGCGCCTCGAACGAGTCCAAACATGGCGGAACGAGATGATTCTTCTTAGGTAGCTTGCACATCTTTGCTCCACCGACTTTCCACGAATTCCCTATGAGACACAGTTCCACATAACTATACTCTTACAGAAGTAAAGATGAATGATTACTCGTACCACTCTTTATATAGAAAATAACATTACGAATGTTATATCGAAATTTGAAAAGAATAAATAGGTTAAATTAATACGTTATTGTTTTATTTGGTATTATTTACTCCTGATAAAATTTATATTTTATATAGTATTATTCAGGTTCAGTATGATGTTCCCACATCGTGTGGCAGGCCTACGTTCTTACTGGACGATATTACAATAATCAGATTACATAATTACATTATTACATAACTACATAATTACATCATTAGATATTACATTAATTACATTAATTACTGGATAATATTAGATACATAAGCTAGGACAGGGATTGTGGTTATTAAATTTGGAACAGTAAATCTTACCAAATCTTTCCTTATCCTCGAGTAGCTTTCCTCTCTTGTTCGTGAAATCGTCATCGGGGTTTCCATTGTAGTTCCCACAGAGCCCGCACAGAGTACTTTTATATTTGGGGTCCACTGTTATCTCCGCATAGCTGTCGCCATCCCACACAACTTTAACACCTGCATATATACATACCGACGTATATCTTTCATATTGTATTTCGACATTATAAAATAAATATAGAATATCAATATATGGTAATTCTGCTTTAAATTTTGTGTTTTTTTAATAAATATTCGCAAAGGTACCCTCCTGTGCTCGTGGAAATTTTAGTTGACGTATTTACAGTACATAGAGATGTATGACAAAGGGTAATATCTTGACAGTGAGAAAAGTGATACAGAAAATTTGTAGTGGAGAACGAAAACACACTCGTCGTTAAATTTATTATTTTTACCGAACGTAGTCCTCAGTACAATGCTGAAGCTATCTTTTACTATAGAGAACAAGCCCAGCTTGATGTATGGGAGACGCACAACTTTACGTTGCACTCTTACTTCTAGACCTGGCCTGTGGCAAGAACAGAAATTGCATATAGATTAGACTGTCATATACGAGACAACAATTAACGTAATCGGTTAATAATTAAATTCATATAATGGATGAATATGTAATGTATATATGCGCAAGCACGTGCAAACACTCATGCACAGACGTACACAAGCACGCACGCACACACACACACACGCACGCGAGCGCGCGCGCGCACACACACACACACACACACACAC